TAACTCAATTTTATATTAAATTTAAAAGCATTATTAGTCAATATCTACATAACTTTATACTTTTATAAACTAAAATGTTTACAAAATAATCTTTCTACATATATGATTTGAAGGATCCAGCTATGCTTTGCAGTTGAACAACCAACAAAAAAATGCACATGCTAACCCCAACCAGTTTCAAAGTAGATGACAAAGATTTAAGGCCAGGCTCAATGTATTCTTGCTTGTCGAACTCTTAGTTCGAATCGTTTACAGCCCTGGTACCGTTAAGCAGCTGGGCACCTGCTTCTGCAGAGGGTATATGAATAAATAATAATTTCTTGAAAGTTATTGCGACTCGTCGTCGCATTTTGTTTTCCCTTTGTCTAGGCGATTGTGTTAGGCTTGAGCCTTGCTCTTGGCACGGCCCATGATTTATGGAGGCAACGTTGGTGGCTTTTAATTTGCCACGGAATCCTTGTTAAACATTTGCAGCGCGTCTCGTCCTCGTCTGGCTGGCAGCCTGAACTTTGTGTTTATCCTTCGCTCGGTCTCTTTACCTTTTTACGCAACGCATTGTTGTCAAAGCTGAAGCTGGCAAAGCATTTTGTAATTTATTTAATTTAACTTTTTTTCTCTCATTTTTGTCTTTTGTTTTTCTTTTTTTTTTTTCTGTTGGGCTTTGCACAGCAAAAAAAAAACTTTCCGAGGCGTTCGCTTTTGAAGTTGACTGAAATGACAAATTGTAAAGGACAATCAGAGTGGATAGCTCGGACAAGGAGTAGAAAATAACAAAAAAAAAAACAAAAGAAATATATATATATGTATATACATACATACAAAAAAGGTTCACCTGAGCGAAATACCGAGCCGAAACAAAATATATTGAGTCAATATAATAAACAGGAGACAGAACGAATTCCAGCTCAATCAAATATCAAAGCAATCAATGAACATTCTTCGGCCTTAGTTTAATATTTAACTACTGCAAATATATAGCTGATAGCCTATCACCAGAGCTCAGCCAATGCAAACAACAAACAGCAAAAAGGATTCGCTCAGCAAACGTCTAAGCCCTCGGGCGCTCATTTCAGCTCTCCATGAATATTTCACAGAGCATTTCTTTGTGCACGAGCTGAGGCTGCGCTCTAATAGATTTGGGCAAACGAAATGCACTTGAAATCTGAGTGAAAAATGTTTTATTGTCTTCATGTTCAGCTCTGGCTGTTCTTGTTGTTGTTGTTGTTGTTGTTGCAGGTAACTATTGTGGTACTTGGCAGGACAATGGCAGCTGGGAAACCTTTTAAGCAAATGACAAATGCCTTTGCACAATTTGTCTAATTTGCAGTCGTTCGTATCAAAGGCCGAAATGTTGTCCGAGTATATATATAATATTTTTTTTAATATTATTTTATTTTTTTTTTTTGAGAAAATGCCATTGTAAATTGATTTTTGTGCAGAGTTGAATGGGCGACGAGCGGCAACAAAAGGAAATTACATAGCAAAACTCAACAGCGGTCAGCCGAAGGATACACAAAAGCACAAAAGCAGTGGGTGACGGAAATGCCGACTGGCAAGTAATTTCACCCGTTTTATGTGACCAATAAATGCTTTATCTGCGTATCCAAATTGCCGCCAGCTGGCGTGCATGCGTGCCGATAAGCTCCAGCTCCAGCTCCTGCCCAGCTCCAGCCCAGCTCCAGCCCCATCTCCTCGCTTCGGCTACTGCCTGCAATCTCAGTTCCCAGCTCCCAAAAGTTGAGTTGACCCGCTGGCGTTGCAGTGGGCGTTCAGTCAGCAACAAGCAGGCAATCGATTTATTGGCCATTAAATCGTGGCATTTGCCTCTAATATTTCGGCCCGGTTGCATTTAGCATTTGGCTTTTCGCTTTATCGGTTTATCGGCTGCCGGCGCCGCACTCAATGTGTAAAATAATTTCATTGTCTTGAATGTGCGTGTGCGTGTGTGTGTGTGTTAGCTATTTTCATTTGGATTACGACTACAAATTGCCTATTAAAGCCAAGCAATTCATGACTTGTATACACAATTCAAGCCCGTCACGTAGCCCATTTTCATTTGGGTTTTAACAACTCGTTTTTCTTTTTTTCCCAACATGGAATGCAATTAAATAATGTGTATTAGGCCATTGCACACAATTAAGCATTATTGTTGCAATTCCATTGAAATGCCACTCCGTATATCTTGGTGCTGAATGCCGCCGGCTAGGGCAGCATATGTTCCACATATACATACATATATATATACATAGGATTTGGCTCGCTTGCCTTTGATATGAAATTAATTATATTTACAGTTCACATTCAAATGATGCGCATAAATTAATTAATGTTTGCTCATATTCATGATGGCATAATTATTGCGAATATGCAGGCAACCGTCAATAAATAATATCAGTACATAATAATATTACGCATACGCAACGTTGAGCTCGTACATAATTATAAATGTGACTTATTTGCATTGGATTAATAAATGAATGCGAATTGCGAAATGCGAAATGCTCAATCAATGTGCAGGAGAAGAAGGAATAGGAGAGGGGAGGAGAGAGAGAGAGAGAGAGAGGGAGAGAGAGAAACATATATAGTTAGCATAGCTAGTTGAGCACAACAATCGACCTAGATATACTAATTATCGTAAATTGATTTGATCAAAATCGTTTGCCACAAGATGAGCTACTTGAGCCAGGTCTTATTGATGCCTGCACATGCATGCATACATACATCGTGCACTTTATCTGCCATGAATGTGGCCACCGCACATCAATTATGTCGCCTTCGCCCAATGAGGGATAATTGAAACGCCATTCAGTTGTTGCCAGGAGTCGGCGGAGAGGACACTGCGAGCGAGCATGAAAATTAATAAAAATGAAAAACAGTGAACACACAAATGGAGCGTAATCAAATGAAGCACTGTGTGGCTGGGCATACTCTCAACCCATAATCTCGTCATGCGGACAATTAATTAAAGTCAATAATAAAAAATCCAACGCTCGCACGATTAAATATCACTCACTCACCGTCCCCAGTTGTGGAACTGTGAAAAGTGGATTATTCGTCAATTAGGCAACAGCCGGCGGTGCTCACAGTATTTGCTCTCTACACTTCGAACCCCTGCCCCTCTCGCCAGCCACTTGCGCTGCTATCTAAACTGTAGAAAAGTTCTCTTTGGTTTATTTCGATGCGATGCCAACCCGCTGGTCATCCAGAATCAATCGCAGCCATCTCGGTGGCACGTGTCAAAGCCACATGAATTCACAATTCGCATTTGTCGGCACTCGGATGGACGTTAATCTCACCAGCGGCCATACCATCACCATTCTATCCCATTCCATTCCATTCCATTCCATTCAATTCCATTCCGACCCGGCCAATCGCTAAGTCGCTAAGTAGCTTTTGGCCAGTTCACGCTCAGTGCGGCCTCAGCCGTATGGTTCATAATTTATTAGCCGGACGAGGACGAAATTCGAGAGCAACAACTAAAGGGCAATGTCACGGCAACAATAACCAACAAGCAGATGAAATGAAAATGATGCCACACTTTCAGTTCGTTCGCCGACAACTCATACAAATTTATTTACAAGTGTCAATAATTAAACGCTCGAGCCCATCGTCTCCATTCCCATGCATTATCCATTCGGCATTAATAAATGGCTGAGCCATCGATCGATTTGTTTTGCCTACCCAAATCAATAGATTTCAATATTTATATACACACAAATAATTTCTGAATACAACTTGAATTTTTTTTTTATTCAGGCTTATTTGTGAATTTAATATAAACATAGATATTTTAGAGACCTGTTTGCATAAGAGTAGAGGTTTTTTAAAGTATTCATTATAGGCCTTAAAGTGCTTCTACATCCGTCAGTAAGAACTATAGCTTTAATGTGCTTTTATATTAGTCTTATTTAAATAAAAAAACTTCAAGATGAAGATCTAATTAATATTTAATTTTAGTAGGTTATATTTTAATAGTTTGCTTTGAATTTGCACAGAGCTTTTGAATATGAAAGATCTGATCGTCTCTTATATATCCCATGACTTTTTGCTTTTGCTTAAGCATGCTTTCATGAGCTTTAAAGCTTTCTGTATACCATATCGAATCTAGCTTTAAGCTGATTAACTTGAATATAATGCAAATCTTAATTCATTTTGAGCCCTACAATTATGCTATTAACTGGGCAACGAAAACTTGGTGATGGAAGCCACCACCGAGGGCTTAGCCTAGCCGTGTCGTGCCTTGCCTTGCCCAATTTGCTGAAACAAATTGGCATGGATTAATTTGTTGCTTTCATGTGTCAGGGCTTCAGTTGTGTTCAGTTTCAGCTTACATAATTGACACCTGCTCGGCTGGCATCAGACTGACGAATGCGAACTAAATACAATATCAAAGCGAAACTTGGCCGCTCTGATGATATTATTATGTACTTGACATGCCTCTGCCGAACAGCAAAACCAAATCAACTGAAAGCAAAAGAAATGTGCTCAAACATCGAAAATCAACTTGTCGACCCGCGCGTGCCCCTCGCCCTGCCCATTCATTGTGTGGGTGTGAGAAAATCAATTGCCAGCAAAAGCCACGACGTCCAATACGGCCAGCCCACTTAGCTATTGGCCGGGCCTAGAGCCGGGCTACTTAGGACCTGCTAAATCGTCAAGTCTCACACGATTTGGCTTGGCTCGCGTTGCTCACATTGTTGGACGACTCTCGTCCTGCTGCTGTTGCCCAGACCGTTGCTGGTGTCCTGCTGTTGTCCTTGCGAGGCGGCACAACTGAATGCGTTATGCCAACACCTGTGAATATTTCAGGTGTGTGGCCACGCCTTGTTGCCTGACAGATTTATGAGCTTTTCCTTTTGTGCTTTTAATTTATGTTTATTTTATTTATGCAACAGAATTTTGTTTTCAAATATTATCAGCTCTGGGCTTAAACTTGACCTCAGACTGGAAATTGCTAACAAATTAAATTTCAAATTTGTTTTAAATTATTATATCCTCCACTCGAATCATGCTATTTCTTTAATATCCTTTCACTCCTTTAGCAGTTCGATATTCAAGCTCTGTTAACTTTTCGTTCGTAGACTAAATTTGGTTAGAATTTTCTTCACGCTTCTCCATATTTTTTAGATGAATGAAAAGTTTTTCTATATTTCTGATCTTTTCCACCGTCTTTTATCTGACTTTTTGCTAGTCTTTGCACTCAGCTGACAGAACGAATGAAAACGCTGAACATTAAAACAAAATTCTTGTACAACATTTGCTTTTTGTAATAAGTTTTTCTAGCTGCCAGCTGTGACTATTGTGGGTGCTGCTGTTGCTGCTGCTGCTGCTGTTGCTGCTGCTGCTGCTGCTTGTCCCTTTTGTTGTCCTTGTAAATTTCACATAATTTATGCAGATTGACGCTACGTGCAGTCAGCGAGTCGAGCAGCCAGAGCAACGAAACTTTCCAGTGCGAGTCGCTGGAGGGGTGGAGCTGCGCGGGGCCTGCCTGGTCGCTGTTCATTGTGTGGGCAGTGGAGCATTTAACATAGAAATAACAATAACAATTTAACAAATTGTCGCCAACGTTGCTGTTCGCTCGCTCTCCGAATCGCGTTCTGTTACTCAAACATAAACACACACAAACACACACACACACACACATACACGCAAGGTGCAGAACTAAACGTCTAGCCAGGCAACAAAAGAAATTTACTCGCAATATACATATGTATACTACTTGGCTTCCTGCTCTATATATATATATTTCATTTGTGAATTATTTGCGTGGCCCATAGTACGCAAGTATATGAAACTGCATGTGTGTGTGTGTGTGTGTGTGTGTGTGCGGAAGTGCCAGCACAGCAGCAGCTGGGGTGCTTGGGGAAAGGCGTCGCCCACGCGACTGCCTTCTCGTTCGACCCTTGGCACAAGAGCTGGTTAGTCAGTCGGGGCGAATGTGGGTGTCTAAGGACACACCACAAACGAACACACATACTCTATATAAGTATGTGTATGTATGTATATGCATATAGCACACAAAAAAGCGATGAACTCATAAAAAACTTATGAAACTAATTTTGTTTTGCTTGGCTTTGCTTTTGCCTTTACTTTTGGCTTTTGCTGTTGCTATTATTGTTGTTGCTTTTGTTTGGCAACCCACTCGCCAAAAGTCGCGACACACACAAACACACACAGAGGCACACACACAATCACAGTCGCAGTCGTTTTTATGGCTTGACTTGAAATTTTATGCTTCCAGGAGAGTCACCGTTGTCCTTTGAATACGAATATTATGACTATCCCACAGACACACAGACACAGTCCTACTATACTTGTGTGTGTGTGTGTGTGTATTGGCTCATCGTTCACGTTAACTTGGCATGGCCATGGCCGACTCAAAATGCCAGTGCGTTGGCCACTCCACGCCAATCGACCAAAATAGCCATTAAAGCGAATAATAATAAAAAATAATATTAAAATAAAAAAAAATAAAAAAAAAATAAAAATACCAAAAACAAAACAAAGAGAGAATTGCCCACTGCGTGCCTGGGCTAATTCTCATTTGGCATTTAGTTGGCCGGCATTGTTGTTGTTGCGCCGCTTGGCAGGCAATGAAACCGAAAATGAAAAATCAATAGCATTGCATTTGGCCAGCGTGGGCAAAGGCGAGCGAGCCATTTACTTGCCAATCCGAGCCGGATTCGTATTGGTGTCCTTTACTGTTGCTGCCGCTGCTGCTGCTGTCATTCTCCATTAGCCAGCGAGTGTCTGCGCTTTCTGTCTATGAGCTGAATACTTAATGGTCTCGGGCCAGCTTCAATGCTGTACCCGTTCTCTGTCTCTGCATGCATATAAAATGCCCTGAAGCGGAAATATTGCCATACGCTGCGTATGAGCAATGCGTAATTTTAAACACATTTATGCGCAATATTGGCGATTTATATGGTCGCGCTGCTTTTATTGGGTCACGCACAATCCATTGCTCAGTTTTACTCACTTGCTATAGTTTATGTGCCTTCTTACATTACAATTTCGAATGGAACTCCATCTAAATAATCCTACCTTTCAGCAGACAGGTGGTAGGTGGCTTGTGCTAAGTGTTTGATAGATTAAAGATTGCTGGGTACATTTTGATAGAGGCTGAAGAAGGAGAAGCTAAGGTTTACTTCAAAATTTACTATTATATATATTTTTTTAAAATATTATTATTTATTTTTTGTTTACAATATTATAATGTACATATGTATGTATGCCAAGTGCATTTAGAGCTAGAGAACCATCGATAGGGACGATAGTATCTAAGAGGTAGGGCTGCAAATTTGTATTCCCATAAAAAATTGCAAGAATCATTTTTGTGCTGGATGTATGATTAAAATTATTGAAAGTTTATTAATTTAATTTGGTTTATTCCATCGATTGTGAAATTTATCGAGGCGAGCACCTATCGATGGTTTTGCAGCCTTACTTAGAGGCAATCATTGTGACGATAGTTATTGAAGAGCAATCGATAACAGCGAAAAATATTACAGATTTTTTCTTCAGTTGACGGCAATGAGCAGAACACATATGTATATACAATAATAATTCTCGCTGTATTTCATTTCTTAAAGCTTATTGTAACTATCGTTATTCACCTATCGATTGTTCTCCTGATACATTTCACTGTGCTATCTGGTTAGTGTACATATCTACTATAACATAAAAGCTTAAACATGTATAAATTTATTTTAAATTTGATTCTCATCAGAAATATTTTAATACAATATTTAAATAATATATGTATATTTTTAAGAATACATATTTTATAATTATTTGATTTATTATTTATTAGCTTCGAAATTAAATGAGTTAATATCTTAGTCATATTATATTATATCAGAATAAGCATTATTTTTATTTTCATTGTAAATTTTTTTATTAATACTTGCATTATTATTGTTATTAATTCAAATACGATTGAAAATTTCTTTTAGTCTTTTAATCCCAAGTTAATAATTTTCACACGATTCTCGATTCTCGCACATCGATTATTTTTACTCTACTCTTAGAGTCTATAAACAACATTGTGTTCGAGACTTTATTTGTTGGAGATCGCATTTGTGACCTTCTGAAACAAATTATTTTCGTCTAATATTATAAGCCAGGCGCACATTATATTCACAGTTCGGCGATTCTGATGAGGGTTCCGAGTTCTTCCCACATTTTCCCATGCCAATTAAAATTTCATTGTGTCTTGTCTTGTTTTTGGGAAAGTTGCAAACTTTTTAATTAGTAAATGCCAATTAAAATGCAAATGCTTATATATTATTATCTGCACATAACGTTGGCTCGCCCTTTGCCTGCCGCGTCCAATTAGAAATGTTCTTAAATATACTGATTGGATTAAAGGCCAAAATTGAATTAAGTTACCGCATTAGCAGCAGCCCTAGCCGCTTTCGCCTGCCCATGAGCCATTGTTATTGACGCGGAGCTGCGAATCAGATTAGAGGGGAAACCCAGTCAAGCCAGGCCAAGCCAAGTGGAAGGCATTTTGGGGTCTATAAACGGTATCAGTTTTGGGAAAATCCACGCGGTTAATTATTCCTTTTTTCTCATAATAATTGAATAAGAATACCCAAATTATGAGCAAGTGAATGGAAATTTCTTAAGAAATGTATTCCATTCTGTTTGCCCTAAAATTGAAAGCTGTTTAATCTTGGCCAATGAAAATCGATTCGAATTGGCAAAGCACAGAAAGTCAAACTGACTGCATAATACTCGTTCAGTTAGCAGCTATATATAAATGCACAATTTGGGCCTCTTCGATTCGCTATATTCCAATTGGTCCAAAATGTTCCATTGCCGGAGCAGCTGAGCCAATATACTCTTCTTAGATTTTCGTGAGCGGGCATTGAAACTTTCAACGAAAATGGTTTCGTCTGTTTAGATGTCAGATCTATGTACATTTCGGCGCAAAAAATGAAGCGTAAAAAGTGAAGGCGAAAAAAAAAAATAGCAACGAAAATCATAATAAGAACCCAATGAACGCGAGCACAGGACACGGCGGCTGCTTTTAAGCACTTTTATGCTGATGCTGTGATTTTTTACAGCTGCCATTTCGATGAGATGGGCGGTTGTGGCACTGTGGCACTGTGGGCTGTGTGCTGTGGGTGGTGCTGATGGGTGGTGCCAGTGAGCTGGCTGCGGCAGCTGTGCGTGAGCTCTGCTGCGGTCTTTGCATTCTCGCAAGACTTTGCCACATGACGCAGACAGCTGCCGGTCGTTAGGCAAAGGAGGCAAATGATATTTGTCTACAGCAGCAGCAGCAGCAGCAGCAGCAGCAGCAGCAGTAGCCACAGCAGCAGCGGTTGCTGCTGACTGGTAACTAGGTAGTGGTGGTGGTGGTGCTGCTGCTGTCACTGGGTGGATGCCAGCACTTGGGGTTTGTATATATTGAATTTTGTGGTAATTACAAGTAACTCACTTCAGTTCATTGACAATATATGTACGTGCTTGTGTGTGTGGGTGTGTGTGTGTGTGTGTGTGTGGGCGTGTTTCGTTTTCTTTGCATACTTTTTGGGGCACAAAATCTGCTGACGCTCTCTGTTGACTTTTCTAGTAATTGGCAACGCTTTGCTTCTCCGGCAGAGTTTATCATAGTGAAGCTTGCAGCACTGTTTGCATACATTTTCAAATTGCCATACAATGCTAACACACACCCACATACACACACACACACACACACACACATAGCGAGGCACTTGGGATTAACGATAATGGCTGAAAATTGCCGAAAAGCATACGAAAAATGTTTGCAATTTGTTTTGCCAGTTATGTTTGTCTTCTGAGCCGATGGCTGCTGAGTCTCTTATCTTTCGAGTGCTTCGAACTTTAAGTAAACATCAAATTGTGCCAGTTTTACGGGAAAACGCCCGAAACAAAACTAAAACTTTAGATGATAGTCAGATCTAATGAGCGCCCTAAAAATTATATGCATAAAATCAACGCAAGTCAGTGAAGTCCTGATGAGTGTTGTAAAAAATAATAAAC